AAAAAAAAAAAAAAAAAAAAAAAAAAAAAAAAAAAAAAAAAGAAAGATACGTCATACTGTGCATCTAATACTGCCTGTATATGTTCGTCAATCAATATATGTCGCATGAAGGGAAAACCCTATCCACCATATCTACCGTATCTCCATAAAGAGCAGAGGGCTTGATTACTTCCCCGCTTAAGGGAAGGATTGACCTCCTGCCCATGCAGCCCAATCCTATCGATCAAACCAAGACACAAAACCTTAAACAACCTATCTCCATCTCTGGGCAATCAACAACCCTGCATAATTGGAAGTTGAGGGCCGGACAACTCCGATCTATAAAGGGGAGATCATCTATCCTACTCCCACCCGGTGGCAGACGAAGAGGAGCGGATTAACATGGGAAAACACTGGACAAAAGGGGGGGGAGACGGTAAATCACACAATTAACCCCAGGCCCCCACTCACCATCCTCATCAGACCACAAGTTCTCTCCCTATGCGCTGGTGTTGATGTTGTGACTTCCGTTGTTGTTGCTGATCTCGTTGTTGTGGCCATTGTCGATGTCAGTGTTGTTGCTGTTGTTGATGTTGCTATTACAGTTGTTGTCGTTGTTGTTGTTGTTGTTGTTGTTGTTGTTGTTGTTGTTGTTGTTGTCGTTGCCGTTGTTGTTGTTGTCGCTCTTCTCGCTGTTGTCGTCACGACTGCCTGTACTGCTGTTGTTGTCACTATCGATGTTGTCACAATTTTGCTTGTTGCAACCGTATCATAATATTCCCTCGACCCCTATGACAACACCCTGCCACCTTTGCAGCCGGGTCTGCAGACCCTGCAAACCCGACTCACCTCCCGCGGTTCAGGATGGACCACACCTCTATTTGGCACTCCTTCCTGACTGTGACTCTCACCGCCCTCAATAATGAGGCCCTCGTAAGCGAATGCTCCCTCCTCTGGTGCTATCCCATGATATGGGACAGTACCACCCCCTACCTATCCGCCTAACTACACTTGTGTAGTCTTATCTCAGCTAGCCCAGGGTGTTGTAGAGGCTGGGACTGTATTTTCCCAAATTTGCAGATATGTCCCTCACAAATTTCCCCTACAGGTAGGTCTCTCGGTTAACCCTCAGCCAAACAAAATTACGAATCTACCCTACCTATGGTACAACCTCGACAAGAGAGGCTACAAACGACCAGAAACCAGCAAGTCATTGCAGACCTCCGAGCTAGGGGCGTAGGCGTGCAGAGCGTCGAAGGGGTTCTCCCTTCTGTGCTGCCTCATATCTGAGGATAATAGACTTTGCAGTCTTCAGACGTTCCTTGTGAGTAAACCAGCGATCTTCAGTATGTGGCTGGTATAAGAACTTCACAAGGTACTCCTTATCTGGATCTGTACCTGACTCATCCTCAACGGACTCCACCTCATATCCTTTGCCAGGGATAGGGGGACCGAGCAAAGGAGGCCTGTCTAGGAATGCATCTGCTGATGTGAATGGTAACAGCTTAGATGCATGAAAGACAGCGTAGGTTTGTAGATGCAAAGGGACATCCACTGTATAGGATGGTCCAAATGGATCAGCTCCCACTGTATCTAAGACCTGCCATGGACCCATGTATCGTCGCAGCAGCTTAGGTGAAATGTCCTCCTCTCGTGACAACAGTACCCACACCCAGTCACCTGTGCGAATAGTCGAGGGACGTATGTGCTTATTAGCCTGTTGAATCATAGCCTTTTGGGTTTTCAGCAGGTTAGCACGGGCGGACTTTATGTCCACACGGTAACGCCTGGTGAACTCTCCCTGTGCGGTATGATACTTCTATCCTCTCCCCTTCCTTCTATGTATGTATGGGCATACCTGGGAGTCTATGTGAGTGAGTGTTGGTCTTCAAACAACAGACAACCAAAATCATAACAGTTGGTATCAAAGCCGAGTAGATCCCATCCATGAAAACAATGAAACGATGATAGTCCAAACCCAGTATCACGCTGTTTATTACACTCAGAGTCTCAAATTGTCAGAATAACCTCGGAACTACAGTGTGCTGCTAAAAAATGAGCAGCGCTTCACTCCCCAACCCTGGGTAACCACTCGTAACCCCTGAGCCCCTGAAACATCAAGCGCCACCCAACTATTGCCTCCAAAGGGCAGCGCCACCCTAAAACAGGCCTCTGAGGCCAAGCGCCACTCAGAGGGTGAAGAAGAAAACCAGCGCCACAGTATCTGATGATGACGAAGTGCCGGAAGGCTTCCCGGGTGGAAGTCTGCAGCAGCGCCACCACTCCTGACAAGATGACTCTCGGTTAGCCCTCAGCCAAACAAAATTACGAATCTACCCTACCTATGGTACAACCTCGACAAGAGAGAGGCTATAGACGACCAGAAACCAGCAAGCCATTGCAACCTTCCCTACCCTTCCCCACGTTAATTCTCCCAGCACACCCCCTATCCCTACTATCTTACCTACTGCCATTCAATTTCTGGTGCTAACACCCTATTAATCTGTATCCTATTTGCGGCATTTCGACGCAGGATTGAGTTTTTCCACTTTCTAAAATTTACTGCTATCATCCTATGTTGACTTTTTCCAAGCAACAATGTAAGGAGTCCCAATCCACATGGTCATAGGCTTTCTCGAAGTCAATAAATACAAGGGGCTGCATTAGCCTCATTCTGTCTAACACCCCGAAGTACCTCATTGGCCAGCAAAGAATTGTCTTGCATGCTTCTCCCCTTCACAAATTCAATTTGATTGGGGTGGATTACTGACTCGATTAGAACATTCAGTCTTTTTGTCAGAGTTGTAGAGAGTATCTTATAGGCTTCTTCGAGAAGGGTTATCGTCCTATACATCCTTACGTTCATCGGATCCCATTTTTTCTATTTAACTTAGAGAATCCCTTGGCTGTTGTAAACCCAATTTTGGCCACCATCCTCAAGAAATCACCGACAACGTGTGTCGCACTGTGTGCAGTTTGTGATCTCTACAAGTGCAAGACATCTTAATATGATCCTACACAGTACATAAGACAATCGATAACAAGAAACATTTATTTTTATTTTTCAAAAGGGCGAAAGTCTTGAGATATATCCACAGGTGACCGGCCCCATGAAACTCGAAGATTATTATGGAAGTTATTGTTACAGATTATATGTCATGATCATGACTTACTGAACTTCCTTATTGAGCTTATGTTGTGACAGGTATGTTGAGAGCTTTTTTTTTTTTAAGCCTCTGGAAGTATCGTGAAATTGAGAAATTGAGGGTCTCAACCCTGACACGCATCGTAATCGAGCCATGAATGTGTCAGCTATAGTAGTACTGACTAAGAACTCAACCTGAGAGCTCTGATAGGATGTGTATTGGGTGCGTCCCGACCGTCTGCAGCAGGACCTGAGCAGCCACTTCCACTTGGCCCGGTGCTCCCGCATTGCTACGGGTTAGAGGGCGGCACAACTCACCCCAGCGAGTTATCAGTGCTGACTGGCCGTGGCCACCAGTCCTCAGGCCACTGAAAGTGACGGAATTTGGGGTAGAACTCAGCACCTAAACGGTGCCACTGAGGCATGAAGCCTTACTGAGCTAGCCGACGGGGCAGGATAACAAGAAACATTATCACCATTTGTCTACAAAAATTGATCGAGACAGGGAAGAGAGACTGCATAGGGAAAAGGAAGAGGAGGATAAGCAGCAGGTGAAACAGGAAGAATAGGAGGAGGAGGAGAAGGGAAGGAGGTAAAGAAAGTAGGGGGAGCAGGGGGAGGAGGAGGAGGAGGAGGAGGAGGTGGAGGTGGAGGTCTAGGGAAGAGAGAGGGACGAAGGTGTGCCCATGGCTCTGGCTTAAGTCCTTACTAACTTTCTGCATTCAACTTTCCACCAAAAGTGTATGCTGGTGCAGAGAGGTGTACAAACTTGCTTTTCTTGAAGTTGTATGTTCCCGGTCCAGGAGCTGCGTAGTCTGTTTCATCAGGCAGGAAAAATGAACAGCAAGCGGGTCAATACTTTAGCAAGCATCACTACTCTAGCAAGCATCACTACTTCAGCAAGCATCACTACATTCGCAAGCATCATTACGTGTGCAAGCATTACCGTATTCCTGAGATAGGCAACGCCCAGAACAGATGGAGTAATGTTGCAAAGCTCAATGCTACAAATGAGTCTTACCGTATTTGGGACAAAGGTAAGCCAAGCCACATGGTGTTCATCTTGTTCCACACCATCAATATCTATGATAAGGAAAGGTTCTTGATGGTGTCCTGTGCTTTGATCATATACCCATTGTGGATGGACAATGTTTCTTAGATCAGCACATGATTGTGCACCCACCCCCCTACCCCCCTGCCCCCCCCGCACACAATCATCTTTATCTATAACTTATTAACTTCTCCTTTTCTTTTTATCATTCAACGTATTTCCTCTGTTTGTCCATGTTGTGCCCTTTCTGCTCTTTTCCTGTGGTTCTCCTTTGTGTCTCAGTGAGCACCTTTGTGATGTGCCAATTTGCCAAATAGTCAGTGTCTGTTTCTATGGAGCGTCTGCAACACTTTTGGGAGTGCTTCTGTTCTTGATGACTGTGTGTTATTATGTTTGCTGTACACAACTCCAGAAAGAAAAAGCACGGCTGATGGACAAGGACTCACCTCGTCCACTCTCAGGAAAGAAAAAGTTGGCAGTTTGGGGGGAAACATGGAGGATAGGTGATGGAGGAGGGACCCGCACAGGCACAATTCCAATCTGAAACAAATTCTCTCGAGGAAATCGTGTATTAGCCTCTCTTCGGGATAAACACTAAAGTTTTGGTAAAATAGGCTACATACTTAGCAAAAAAGATTGAGGCTTGGGGTTGGGTGTGCGCCCGCTGCCTGCGGCTCTGGACCCAGGAATGCTTGACGTATAACTCAGCGTACTGAGTTAACACGAAGATAGTAAAATACTGTAGATAGAAGGGAGGTTGACATCAGAGGGTTGCAGAAGATGACCTCCAGTTCTTTTTTTTTGTTTTTTTTTTTGTTTTGTTTGTTTGAAAACACCCCCTACAGTGTTAGTGGTGCTGGTAAGAGCAGACACTGCTACCACCTGGTGAGCGGCTCCATCTATTGATGGGGAGCAACACCTGCTGGGAAGCGGGCCCAGCGTCCCATAAGCATATCAAAAAAGGGAATGTGGGGGTTCCTGCCAACATTGATTACCCTGAGTCCAGGGGATTGACTGAGCAGGATAATGGAGGGAGGGGGGATCCTCTTCACCATGAAGCCGGCGCCGGATACCTGCTGTTGCTTACTAGTTCCTCCCTCCCCCCGCTAGTAACGACTCTGAATTCCACAGTATGGCGAAGTAGGACACCTCGTCCCCTTTTTGTAAGGTGTAAGTTAATGAGATAGCGCTTGCTGGGAGCCGGGCCCAGCAGCTGGGTGCGCTAGGTAGGTGATGTAAATGATGGTGCTGCTGCAGGCGATGCCAAAGCTGATGATGACTCCTGGTTGACTTGCAGCCATTCGTGAAACTGAAGTTTGCTGTTTTCGGTGAATTCGTTGCTTTCCTTTTCATCCCCTTTTTCCCCGTGGCAACAGATGTGTGCTAACCTGCCTCCCTTTTCCCCTCCCAGCCAGTCTGCACAAAATTTACTGATTGCTTTTGTTATAACTGCTTTCCGTGTTAAATGATTTAACTTTTCCTGTACGTGGTTCCACTGGACTCTTATTTCTGTTTCTATGAAGTGTTTAACTCTCTCTCCTGCTTCCCCTTCTCCCATCCTGGCCCCTTCCTGATCAAACACACATCTCCTTGTCCATAGCATCCATACCACGACTTTCCTCGCGATGACGAACAGATTAGTGGCATAGCTGGAGGCTAGTGGCCTACCCCATTCACCTAATAGGATCGATTCCCATTTCCATGGCCATTCCTCCTCGGATTCAAGTTGAGACCAGATGTGGTCCCACCAGCGCCACATTAGGACCGCCCCTGGGCAATGGAGGAAAATGTGTTCTACTGCTTCACAGACTTTGCGGCTTGGGAAACCAGTTAGGCAGAATTTACACCATGGGAGAGCCTCCCCTTTCTGTTCCAGATTAGTTCTGTCAATGATCCAATTGTTGGTAGGAAGGCATCTATGAACATTCTGCCATTGCAGGGCGGCAAATTTGGACGGTCTTTCCTTTATTCCTTTAAACCACTTTATACCTTTTATCTGATCATCTCCTAGGTTTAGGTGCCTCTTCCACCTCTCCCTTACCACGGTCCTCACATCCATTTTGGGTCTTATCATCCTGTAAGTGCTCTTTACCATCAGGCCAAAAAGTTTTACCTTGGGCCCTGTTCGGCTTCTCACCCATTGCCATTCTAGCGGGTCCATGGCCACGGTGGATAAGGGGACTTCCGGGCGATAGGCTTGCCATTCCGTTCTTCCTCCCTTGTGTGACTGCAGTACTCGTATATGATATAGGTTGGCATTCTCAAGCCATTGGACTGAGTCTGGGTGGTACCTTACCAACATGTCATCCTCCTTTCTTTCAAACAGGTTCACCATGGCTCCTTCAGTTCTCACCTCCACGACACACCCTATTTGTAGGGGTGAGTCCTCCAACTTGGCTGCCACCTAGTCTTGTTCCTGCAGTCTTGGTCCTTTCCTCAAAATCGCCACCCAAGTCAAGGGAATGGAGAATATCAATTGTTCCAACTTGTTTGCTAAATTGCAAGCGTGATGCAGATAGGGTCTCAATCGTTGAGCGGATTCCCAATTCTTGGCCACCTTGTCCCATATATCCCCAACACGGAGGACCCCATTCCTAACCCACATGGTCCATTGGGGGTCCGCGCTGCTAAATACCCGGCCTAGCCGGTCGGTAACGGCTCTGTTCCCAAATAAGGGCTGTCGCTGAACTTCTTCCATCCGTTCCGGGGGGGGGTGGTTTGGGAGTGGTAACCTTCTCCAATCCTTGATTAAGTTGACCCATAATTTATCCTTTGTTAGGTCTTGTCTAACTGCTCCTTTAACTCCTTCCTCTCGCCAGTGTGAATTTGCCCTGGGGATTGACCAGTAACGATCCTCAATCCAGGTCAGCGGGTCTATCCCCGGGGCTATTCTAGGGGCCAACCTACAAATCTGTTCCTTGGCCAGGTTCTCCCAAGGGGGGGCTTTACCCTAGAGCAGTTTCTTGAGCCATTGGATTGCCAAAGTTGTTGCTTGCAGAGAAGGATCCAACAGTCCCATCACGCCCTTCGTTTTAGGCTAGATCAGCGTATCCCATGCAATCCGGCTTATCACGTGTTGTAGGTCTGAGTCCCCCCTCCAGAGGAAAGCCGCTAGTTGTTTCTTGAGGGCTTTTGTTCCTTTCTTGCTCAGGTGCCAAAGGGCTGACTTGTACCGGATTGCAACCAATATTTCGTTATTAATGACCAGCGCCCTCCAAAAAATGGATGTGTTTTTGTTTTTCCATTTTTGCATTTTTTCTAGCGTTGTTCTAGTTATCCATTCATCATTCTTTTTCGGTGGTCCCTGCGCTGAGAGCGCCACACCCAATACGTGAATTTGTTCCTCCAGGGGTCTCCAGTCTACCTTGGGCTGTTTTGGGGGGCGGACCCCATGGTAATGGATCCACCAGCCCTGCGTTTTGCTTCCCCAATTCACGGTCATGTCCGATACTTGGGTGAAGCGCGTCATTAGGGCCATGATTTCTGCCATATTGTCCTGGGTGGCCTCTGTTACTATTGTCAGATCGTTAGCAAACATCAAATAAATAGGTAAGGCTTCTTCCAGGATGCCTGCCAAACTAAGGCGAGAGATTTTTTTTTTTGTTCTCAGGTTTGCCCCTAGAGCTTCCGTTACGATGATAAAGAGAAAGGGGGCTATGGGATCTCCTTGTCTCACTGAGCGTTGCAGCCTGAATTCTGGTGCTATCAAGCCATTCACCTGCACTCGTGTTGTCGCACTGTGGTGGAGAATCCTTATCCAGTCCCGGAATTCCGGTCCAAAGTTCATTTTCTGAAGGCATTTGTCTAGGAATCTTCAGTCCACATGGTCGTAAGCTTTCTCAAAATCAATAAACACGATTGCAACGTTTTGTTTTGTTTGTCTTGCAAGTTTTATTAGTTCATTGACTAATAGCACATTATCCTGGATGCTCCTGTTGCGCATGAATCCATTCTGTGCTGGGTGGATTATCTCCTCGAAGATGGGGATCATTCTGTTGGCCAGCGCTTTGGCCACCAATTTATATACCACCGTGAGGAGGGTGATTGGTCGGTAATTCCTTATATTTGTTTTATCACCTTTTTTGTACAGCAGGGTGAGGATTCCTTGGCCCGCAAATTCGCCCATTTCTCCTTATGCCTTCACCTGCCTGTAGTATTCCATCAGGTCCTCCGACATGGGGGACCACATTTCCTCCCAGAATTCTTTAGGAAGTCCGTCTATCCCTGGGGTTTTATCTTCTTCCTTCTGTAGGAGGGGGCTCCAGATTTCCTCTTTCCGCAGTGGTTTCTCAAAAGCCTCGCGTTGTTCGTGTGATATCCTTTTCGTAAGGGGGTCTAAAAATTCCTCCATCTCACCTTCCTTTGCTGGTCCTGGTTCCTTCGTCAGGTTGGAGATGAAGAGGTCTTTGTAAAAATCCCTGGCCACTTTTAGACTGTGGGCTGATGAGAAAGAGATAACCTCCCGTGTTTTAACAGGGTCGTATAGACCTTCTATGATTGATCTTCTGACCCTTGTCTGGGCCAGCGCAAAGAATCTTGCGTCCATTTGTCCTTCGACTAAGTGCTTCAATATTTTCCCCCTGATTATAGATCCCTGCCACCTTTCTTGTGCAAATTCCAGTAGTTGTTCTTTGAGTTTTTGTATTTCAGTGGACTCCATTTGAGAGTTTGGGTGCCACGGTTGTTCCAGTTCATAGTTCTGAATTTTCTGGTGTATTTCTATTTCTTTAGCATATTTCCCTTTAGCGCGTATTTATGACCTAC